TGGGGGAAGAGCGGTTCCAGACTGGACACATGATCGCCTGGTTCTGGGACACCGTGGCTCGGTGGATGATGATGCGGGCGAGGAGGGACGCCGCGTCTCTCGGGCGGGTGCTCAACCTCGTCCAGGCAGCCGACAAGTCCTCGCCCTCGCTGCCCGTGGACCTGGCCGCGAAGCTGGTCAACCGCGTCAACCCGGGCGACACGGGCGGCATTCACGGGGTGCTGCCGCTGCACGTGGGCATGCGCATACGCCTGCTGGAGCACCTGGACCTCGACAAGGGGCTCGTCAAGGACGCCGAGGGCGAGGTCGTGCACGTGGCCATCAACCCCAAGGATGAGGGCGTGGTGGAGAGAGCGAAAGCCGAGGGAGGTCGGGCGTACCTGCGGTACCTGCCGTACGGCGTGTGGGTGCGCATGGACAAGTACAAGGGTGGCCCCTGCGGAAAGAAGCTCAAGGAGCTCGATGACAGCATCGACGCTGAGAACGCGGCGGGCCTCGTCTTCATCGAGCCACAGAGCTCGAGCCAGTTCGACTTCCGCAAGTGCAAGGTCACGCGCACTGGCTTCGTCATCTCCCACGCCGAGGTCCTGACGTCCACTGCCTGCCAGGGCCGCACCATGCACCGCGGAGTCATTGTTGACGCAGGGTGCAAGGATGCGAACGACCTGGACGCTCTATGGCTGCACCTCTACGTGATGCTGTCCAGGGCGACGACGATAGACAACCTACTGATGGTGCGCGACCCCGGCCTTGAGTTTCTTCCCCGCGGCCCACCGGCAGACCTTGCAGAGAAATTGCGGAGGTTCAGTTCCCGCACTTCAACATGCAGGAAGGAGGCAGAGAAGCTGGCGCGCGAGCAAGGTCTCGATCGCTTCCTGCACTAGATATAAACAGGTATGATCCTGTGGACAGGCAGCAGGCATGCGTTGACCGAGCTCCTGCAAAAACGAAACAGTCTCTTGCTTCCTCCCTCCTCTTTCATCATCGCCGCCCTTGTCCTCCTGTCACCTTCTGCATTCATGCTGCTGCTGCTGCGATGGCCCCTCGCCCCTTCCTACTGGGTTCGTCCTTCTCCTGTCCCTCGTTCCCGCCCCCGCTATTGTTTAACGAGCCTTGATACCTACTCCTCGTCTTATCGATTGCTGTTCTGTGAGTCGTGCAACCTTGCGCATCCCATGTAGGTCGCGCTACAAATCGCCGCGCCTGCACTGTCACGGTTCCTGCTAATGTTTCCTTACTCTTGCCGCGTGATGCCATCGGGCTGGGTACGTCGCAGGGTATTTTTTCCTCACATCCAAAGTGGGGTTCTTGTTTTCTCTGGACACCCCGCGCAGGAACAGGAACACACACACACACCCACTCACACTCACTCACACTCTCTCATCATCAACCTCATCAGCATCATCGATGATGCTCTCTCACATGCTTAGTCACTCACATACTCATCATCATCATCATCACTCGCGCTCTCTCACACGCTCACGAACATCATCATCATCATCATCATCATCGGCATCGGCATCATCCTCATTCAAACATCATCATCGCCACCACCACTCACAATCAATCATCATCCTCTTCACCATTCATCTTCACCACCACTCATCATCCTCATCCTCATCATCGTTGAGTAAGTTGTGAGGAAATCTCAGGCGGGAGCCCCCTCCCTATGGGGCCCGCAGATCTTGTTGGTAATCCGAGCGGGTCATCGGAACCCTGTAACTGTCGTCACTTTTGGGCTCCCCAGGCTTGAAAATGGAGGAAGTCTCAGGCGGGAGCCTCGTCTGTGAGTGAATTGGGAGGAAGTCTCAGGCGGGAGCTCCCTTCCTATGGGGCCCGCAGATCACATTGGTAATCCGAGCGGGTCATCGGAAACCTGTAACCGTCGTCACTTTTGGGCTCCCCAGGTTTGAACATGGAGGAAGTCTCAGGCGGGGGCCTCGTCTGTGAGTGAATTCTGAGGAAGGTTCAGGCGGGAACCCCCTCCTTATGGGGCCCGCAGATCATGTTGGTAATCCGAGCGGGTCATCGGAACCTTGTAACTGTCGTCAGTTTTGGGCTCGTCAAGCCTGAATTTGGAGGAAGTCTCAGGCGGGAGCCTCGTCTCTGAGTGAATTGTGAGGAAGTCTCAGGCGGGAGCCCCCTCCCTATGGGGCCCGCAGATCATGTTGGTAATCCGAGCGGGTCATCGGAACCTTGTAACTGTCGTCACTTTTGGGCTCCTCAAGCCTGAATATGGAGGAAGTCTCAGGCGGGAGCCTCGTCTGTGAGTGAACTGCGAGGAAGTCTCAGGCGGGAGCCCCCTCCCTATGGGGCCCGCAGATCATGTTGGTAATCCGAGCGGGTCATCCAAAACCTGTAACTGTCGTCAATTTTGGGTTCTCGCGCTGCCAGAACGCAGTTCCCAGGCCACATTTGGACGCAACAAGGAAGTTTTTGGGCTCCTCAGGTCGCCGAGGTGCTGCGACAGGGCGCCGAAGGCGCCGACGACGACGGCCAGGCCGAGGCGCGGGCGCGGAGCTTGCTGATGTTCAGGCCCAGCGAAAGGGAGTTCACATGGCAGAGCTCGGGGGCGCACAGCGTGCGCCGCTCGGGGTTCACCCTGACGCACGCGTCCTACCTGACCTCCACGCTGTCGCAGGGCCAGACGCTGCGCAAGGGCGTCACCATCGACTGCGCGAGAGACGAGGACGCTGGCCGCACGGGCATGTCGGACGAGCAGTGGTGGCTGCACCTCTACGTCATGTTCTCCCGCGCCACGTGCATGCGGAACATGCTGATCCTGCGGCCGCCGCCGCGAGAGTTCCTGGAGTGCGGGCCGCCGGCGTCCCTGCGGAAGGCGCTCCTGGAGTTCGACAAGAGAACGGTTTTGTCCAGGGCGGAGGCGAAGCAGCTCGCGGCAGAGCTGGGCTTCGTGCTGCCTTCCGCCTGAGCGCGGCTGCGCCTCGCTCGAAGCCCGCGGGGTTGTCCCAACGGCTTGGTCTTGCGCGCCAACGGCTCGCGGGGTTGTCCCGACAGCCTGGCCCGCGGGGTTGTCCCAACGGCTGCGCGACGTGACCAGTAGAGAACGCGCCTGTGCTGGCCGTGGCGGCGACGGCGCCGAGGAACATCGACATGCGCGCTCATGCAACAGGAAGGGGAGGAGGTGGCGGGGCGCGGAACAAACAGGGGGGCGAGGATGGGGACAACGTAAGGAGTGGAAGGGGGGCCCGCGCCAAGGCGAGAGGAAATATACGCAGAAGAGACAGCCAGGACGCCTCACCAACCACGAGGACGACGGTGATGGCTTTTTCCAGATTCGCCCAGAGGATTCTTATGTGGGGTTCTTCCGTCGGAGTAATTTCCGGTATCGTCTTGATTCGTAGTCGTGTATTCGTGTTAGTAGTAGTCGTATTATCATTATTCGTACGTAGTAGGAACAGTCGTAGTAGTAGTAGGAACAGTCGTAGTAGTAGTAGTGGTAGTAGTAGTAGTAGTAGTAGTAGTAGTGGTAGTAGTAGTAGTAGTAGTAGTAGTAGTAGGAGTAGGAGTAGGAGTAGGAGTAGTAGTAGTAGTAGTAGTAGTAGTAGTAGTAGCAGTAGTAGTAGTAGTAGTAGTAGTAGTAGTGGTGGTAGTGGTAGTAGTAGTAGTAAAGTAGTAGTAGTAAAGTAGTGTAGTAGTAGTAGTAAATAGTAGTGGTAGTAGTTAAGTAGTAGTTAACAGTAAGTAGCGATAGTAGTAAATAGTAGTAGTAGTAGTAGTAAAGTAGTTAGTAATAGTAGTAGTAGCAATAGTAGAGTAAGTAGTAATGGTAATAGAAGTAGTATAAAAAGTATTAGTAGTAGTGAGTTAAAACAGAGAGTAGTAGTAGTAGTAGTAGTAGTAGTAGTAGTAGTAGTGGAAATAGTAGAAGTAATAGAAGTAGTAGTAGTCGTAGTAGTAGTAGTAGTAGTAGTAGTAGTAGTAGTAGTAGTAGTAGTAGTAGTAGTAGTAGTAGTAGTAGTAGTAGTCGAGAAACTAGTTCTAGCAGTAGCAGTAGCTGTAGTAGTCGTAGTCGTAGTAGCAGTAGTAGTGGTAGTAGTAGTAGTAGCAGTAGTAGTAGTAGTAGTAGTAGTAGTACAGTAGCAGTAGTAGTAGTAGTAGTAGTAGTAGTAGTAGTAGTAAATAGTATTTAGTAGTAGTAGTCGTAGTCGTAGTCGTGTCTAAGTCGTGTCGTAGTAGTAGTACAGTAGCAGTAGTAGCACGTAAAGTCATATTATTAGTGTTATTAGACTAGTAGTACACCGTAATTAGTAGTAGTAGTAATTTTTTTTTAAAAAAAAAGTAGTAGTAGTAGTCGTAGTAGTCGTAGTAATCGTAGTAGTATAGTATAAAGTAGTAGTAGTAGTAAAGTAGTAGTAGAAAGTCTAATCGTAGTAGTAGTAGTAGTAGAGTTTATAGTAGTAAGTAGTTAGTAGTGTATTGTCGTAGTGATTAGTAATAGTAGCAGTAGTAGTAGTAGTAGTAGTAGTAGTAGTTGGAGTCGTAGTCGTAGTCGTAGTCGTAGTCGTATTCGTAGTAGTAGTAGTAGTAGTAGTAGTAGTAGTCGTCGTAGTAGTAATCGTAGTAGTAGTAGTAGTAGAAGTAGTAGTAGTAGTAACAGTAGTAATAGTAGCAGTAGTAGTAGTAGTAGTAGTAGTAGTAGTAGTAGTGGTCGTAGTAGTAGTAGTAGTAGTAGTAGTAGTAGTAGTAGTAGAAGTAGTAGTAGTAGTAGTAGTAGTAGTAGAAGTAGTAGTAGTAGTAGTAGTAGTAGTAGTAGTCGTAGCCGTGGGACTCCCGTGGACCACCCTCTTGGCCAAATTTCATGGCGACTCTCTTTCTCCCTCTCGCTCTCGCTCTCGCTCTCGCTCTCTCTCTCTCTCTCTCTCGGCCTCTGGCGATTCTTTTTAGCCGCCGTCATCGCCAGACAGGTTCTCGCCAGGCTCTCTCGGCCGCTGGCGATTATGTAAATATGCTGCCCTCTCTAGCGCACATACATATTCTCACCAGACGTGGCCCTGCAACCTGGCCATGGCGACGGCCGAGCCGAGCTCGAGAAACATACCTGGACAGCTGGCGCGCCTGTAGCGCCACGCCCATAAGTGCGCCCAGTTCTCGAGCTGCTCCTGCGACTCCTTGCTGTACGTGTTCATGGTGGTTGGGACTGCGTTCGTCACATGCGACCACCGCCCGTCCTGGAGCTGCGCCCCGCCGTGGCAGCACAGGACGTCACCCCCGCTCAGGGTCAGCGTCTTGACAGTCGCCCAGGTGCGCCTGGCGTGCTTGACCTTCGCGTGGTTCCCGAGGCGGCGGTAGCGCCGCGCTCCGTCTGTGTGCCAGATCAGCACGTCGGCCCCCGTGTGAGCTGAGACCAGCGGCGCGGTCTCATCCGTGCTCTCGGGGCGCGCCGGGCCGCCGCGGACCCCATAGAAGGGCGGCAGCATGTGCGCGACGGCGTGTTCGTGGTCTCCGCGCTTGCACATGCCGAACACGCGGATGTGCATGTTGCGCCCGTTCTTGAGCTGGACGACCCGCAGGGTCGTGGCGTCGGTCTCGCACTGGCCGCTCAGCACGATCGACTTCTGCTCTTCCCTCGAAGCAGCCGAGGCGATCTCTAACAAACCCTGCCTGACCGCCTCGCACTGCTTGTGACCCATCTTGGCAAACAGCGCCATGTCGGCAGTACTCGCGCGGGGCGCCAGGGCGCCGCGCGACAGGAAGGCGGCGCCCGCCAGTTTCGGGGGAGGCACTTCCACGTCCGCCCACGTGCCGCACGTGACCTTCACTTGCACCGAGGACGACGAGCAGGCCTTGCGCTTGCACCTTTGGAATGGATGCTGCTTCTCACCCCTGTGAACCACGGGGCCAAATGGCCATCCGCACCTGGGGCAAACGTTCTCGGCGGGGTCGCCGAGGTACCCCGCCTGGGCCATCAAGTCGTAAGCATCCTTGGTCTTCAAAGCCCTGAGGTCCTCGTACGTGTAGATCTTGGCCAAGGAAGACCTGCCGCGCCGCGCGCGGGACACCCGCCTGGCGCTTGGGCGTGTAGAACACGCCCGTGGCTCCCAAGCGCTTGCGCATGGCCTGGGCCGCCTTGCGCGCCTTCCGCGCCTTGGCCAAGATGTCGCGGCGGCGCGAGGCGGCCTGCGCCGACCGCTTGTTGCGACGCTTCTGGGGGAAGCGCTGCCTCGCGCGCGGCTTCGACCCCTGGCCTCGGCTGCTGGCTGCCTCATCGGCGCGGCCTTCGGGGCGGGCTTCGCGACGGTCTTCGCGGCGGACTTCGTCGCCGACTTCGCCGTGGGCCCTGGCGCCTGGCCACCGAGATGCGCGCGGCGACTTTGAACCTCAAGTCTACACAACAAGAGGGAAGAGGCATGCGCTGCGATAGTGTTGATACCGCGGCAATGATGCAGCCCCCCCCGGAACACCTCATAAGAGCCGGCTGAACTATGGCTGGCCAGCGGAGGGCCGCAGAGGCAAGGACACGCGGGTGCCATCGCATGCGGTATCTTTCTTGGCCACGCGCCCGCTTTTCGGAAACGATAGAATTATTTTTTGCATATCGCACATATGAAGAAGAAGCTGCGCTACCCATGCCAACGCAGATTTAAGGAAGAGGCTGCGCCGCCCGCTGCCGCCCGCTCAGTCCTGGCTCGCGAGGAATGCGCGCGCTTCCTCCCCCTCCGCAGCCGAGGGCATCGCAGGCGCCGCGGGCATTCCCTCCTCTGCCAGCATCTGCGAAAGCTGGATGTCGAGATCGCCGCGGGGCGGGGCGGCTGGCGACGGGGAATCGTCAATGTTGAGCGCCATTCCCGACAGCAAGCGCCTCCGAAACTGCGGGCGCTCGGGCGACGCGCGCCCCCGCTTGACCTCGACGAACTGGGGGGGCGGCGCCGACGAGGCCGCGGCCGAGTCCGCGGACCTCTTGCGGTTCCGCTGCACGGCCGAGTCGACGAACAGCTTCTCCTCCCCCAGAAGCGCTTCCAGATTGTCGGGCGGCGTCATGTCGCCGTCCTTCTGGGGCATGTATATGCGCTTGCCCTCGGCGGCCAAGAACGCCCCCTCCCCCCCCCCCGTAAGGGTGGTATCTTTGTGTAGGTGGCTTGTGTGTGTTTCCTGGTTTCTCATTTCCCTCTGCTGTCTCCCTCTCTCTCTCTCTCTCTCTCTCTCTCTCTCTCTCTCTCTCTCTCTCTCTCTATATCCCTCTCGTTCTTTCTGTCTGTATTAGTTTTTCGTTTGCTTTTGATTGGATTTCAATGAAAGGAGAGCGGAGCCCAGATCCAGAGGATTTCTATTTGGATTCTAATTAGATTCCAATTGGATTTCAATAGAAATGGAATGGATTCCGCATCCAGAAGATTCCATTGAAATCCAATGAGATTTCAATAGGATTTCAATCGAAAGAGAACGGGTCCCAGGTCCAGAGGATTTCTATTTAAATTCTAATTAGATTCCAATTGGAATTCAATAGAAATGGGATGGATTCCGCATCCAGAAAGTTTTATTGAAATCAATAAAAACGCTGTGTTTTCCAATAATTCCAATTATTTCCAATATTTTCCAATAAAAAACGCTGTGTTTTCCAATTTTCCAATGTTTTTCAAGGTTTCGGGTGCGGCAGCGCTGTGTTTTCCAGTTTTTTATTTAAAAATCGATAAAAACGCTGCGTTTTCAAATTATTTCAATGAACAATCAATAATGGCGCTGTGTTTTCCAATCTTTTTAATCGAAAATCAATCAAAACGCTGTGATTTCCAATCTTTTTATTAAAAACGCAATAAAAACGCTTTGTTTTCAAATTATTTTAATGGACAATTAGTAAAAACGTAATGTTTTCTAATTTTTTCAACGCAAATCATTAAAACAACTTTGTGTTTTCCAACTAGTTTAATTGAAAATCAATAATAACGTTTTTTTTTTTTTTTTTTTTTTTTTTTTTTTTTTTTTTTTTTTTTTTTTTTTTTTTTTCTTTTTTTTGTTTAATATATATATATAAAACTATATATATATATTTAATCAATAAAAACGCTGTGTTCTCCAATCTTTTTATTTTTTTTTTTTAAAAAAAAAACAATAAAAAAACGCTGTGTTTTCCAATTGTTTTAATGGAAAATCAAGAAAAACGATGTGTTTTACAATCTTTTTGAGCAAAAATTAATGAAACCATTGTGTTTTCCAATAATTCCAATTATTTCTAATATTTTCAAATAAAAACCTTGTGATTTCACATTTTCCAATATTTTCCAAGGTTAACCAGCAAGGATCGCGCGTCGCCCCGTTGCCGTGCCCGAAACCTTGAAAAACATTGGAAAATTGGAAAACACAGTGTTTTTATTGGAAAATATTGGAAATAATTGGAATTATTGGAATCCTCCTCCTCTTCTTCTTCTTCTTCTTCGTCCTCCTCCTCCTCCTCCTCCTCATCATCATCATCATCATCATCATCATCAGAATCATCATCATTCTGCTCCTCCTCCTCCTCTTCCTCCTCCTCCTCCTCCTCCTCATTATCATCCTCCTCATCATCCTCCTCCTCATCACCAGCATCAGCAGCAGCAGCAGCAGCAGCATCGTCATCATCATCATCATCATCATCATCATCATCATCATCATCATCATCATCATCATCATCAGAAACAGCAGCATCAACATCAGCATATGAATGATCAGTGTCATAATCATTCACAGCACCATCCAAACAACAATCACCCTCATGGCCATCAGCAGCAGCATCAGCTTGGTCATCAGAATGTGCATCATGAAGAGCATGACCATCGCCATCACCATCGTCATCACCGTTACCACCGTTACCAGCATCATCCACAACAGCAGCATCATCAGCATTATCATCATCATCTAAATCAGCATCATCCTCATCATCATCAGCAGCAGCATCATCATCGCCAGTTGCATCATTATCATCATCAGCAGCATCATCCTCATCATCAGTATCATCAGCACCAGCATGACCATCGTCATCGTAAGCGTCATCATCAGCAGCACCAGCATCGTCAGCATCAGCATCGACACCAGCATCATCAACATCAGCAGTAGCGTCAGCATCGTCAGCATCATCATGTCAGCATAGCATCAGCATTAGCAGCATCAGTATCATCAGCATCATCGTCAGCATTGACATCATCATCAGCATCGTCATTGTCATAATAATCACCATCAGCATCATCAGCAACATCATGATCATCATCAGCAGCAGCAGCAGCAGCAGCAGCACCAGCATCATCGTCAGCATCCTCAATATCCCTTCCCCCTTTCCATGCCTATCCCCCTCGCCCTCGCCCTGGCCATCCCCCTCTTCCCTGCCCCCCCTCCTCCCTCCTCTTTCAGTGGATCTCCTCGTCGCAACGGCTGGACGCGGCTCAGAAGCAGGTCAAGATGGTGCCCTCAGAGGGGGAGGGCGAGGAAGAGGACAAGGAGGAGGAGGAGGAGGAGGAGGAGGAGTAGGAGGAGGAGGAGGCGGAGGAGGAGGAGGAGGAAGATAGAGGAGGATGAGAGGAAGGACGACGAGGAGCAGGACGGGGAGGGATGAGGGAGGGGGGAGGGGCCAAGAAGAAGAAGGGGGAAAGGGGGAGAAAGGGAGGAGGAGGAGGAGGAGGGAGTCTAGAGCAAAGCCAGGATGCATCAGCGAGGTTGCAGCGCACCCTCCCGTCCCAAGTCCCCTTCAAAAGGAGTCCCTGCAGGCAGGCCATCCCTGCCACTACAAGAAGCATCCCGTTGCGAGACTGGCAGCCGACTGGCCTGCCGTTCAGGCGAGAGAGCCCCAGCTTGAGCAGGACATGCAGTCCGTCCCCCTTAGCGCAGCACCCACCCCGGCCAGCCTGGGGGCAGACAAAAAGGCACCTCTCATGGGGTGGAACGCCTCCGTTCTCGACTTCATTGTCGCCCTCGTTCTCGCCCTCGTTTCCGTCCTCGTTCTCGCTTTCGTTCTCGCCTCCGTTCTCGCCTTCATGTCCGCTTTTGTTCTCGCGGACCTCTCATGGGGTGGAACGCCCCCAGGGCGCGTTCTGACCAGGAGGCCGGCGCGAATCCAGCCCGTGCGACGAGGGAAGGACAGCGGTATTGGTATCTTTTCCTCCTCCTCCTCCTCCTCCTCCTTTTCCTCCTCCTCCTCCTCCTCCTCCTCCTCCTCCTCCAAGTCGAACGCATGGAACTGTGTTCAGGCCGACCTACTGTGGGTGAGCCGCCGCGCGTATCCGCGGATGGAGAAGACGGGTAGAAGTGCAGATTCATGCAACCCGGATGTCGCAGATGGCCATGTCCATAAATCCACCTCGAGATGAAAGATGCTGTCAAACCTGTCAGCCCTGGCGGAAGACAATGAGATATCCACGCTACGAGGAATCCCCCAATGGCACCAGGAGACCACTTCTAAAAACCCACTGAAGCACGAGAGCGAAGAGGAAAAAGGGGAGAACGAGGGGGAGAGGACGAGGAAGCAAGCAAACGATGATGCGCTCGCCGTCTCAGGCAGGCCCTCTGCCCCCGATGCCACGCAGGAGAGAGCAGCGGCGAACTGGACAGGTCATCCACACTTCCTCCTAGAACCATCGGGCGGAGAGGAGCGGAGCCATACGTATATTTATATATATATATACACATACATACATACATACACACGTACATTTTTATATACATATACACATACATATAGAATGCACATGCGCATGTCCGCCACCGCTGCGCCACTGGCGCATCCATGGGCTTCCCTTGGCAGTTTTCCCCTGGCTCCTCCTCTCTGACAGGTCGCCGCTCGTGCGCGCGCGCGCGCCGCCCCTGCGACGCTCGCGGCGGTACCCCTGTGGCCTTCGGCCGGGGCGGCGCCGGGAGCGCCCTCGTCGCGGAGGCCTCCGCATCGAGGGCCTTCCGGCTCCAGTACCTCGCCACCGCCGCCGCCCCGAGGGCCTTCAGTCTCCCGTGCATCGACATCGACGACGTCAACGACGACAACGACGGCGACGGGGACGGCGACGACGACGAAAACGACGGCCACGACGGCAGCGGTGACGACGACGGCGACGACAGCAGCGGCGATGACGACGACGGCGGCGGGAGCGGAAACGACTGCGACGACTTCGACAATGAAGACGGCGACGACAGCGATGAGAAGGACGACGGCGACGGCGGAGACGACGACGACGATGACGAAGGGAACGACGACGACGACGACGACGACGACGCCGACATCACCGACGACCACGACAACGACGACGACGACGACGACGACGGCGACTACGACCGGCGGCGACGACGACGACGACGGCGGCGGCAGCGACGAAAAGGACAACGACCACGACGACGACCACTGAGACGGCGAAGACGACCACCGAGGCGGCGCCGACGACCACGACGGCGGTGGCG